GGGGTTGTGATTTCACATTAAAAATCCTCCTTTTTTTGGGAAATGCTTCCAAGTCACAGTTGACTCTGATTTGTGCCTGAACAAATCCCAGTAGTATTTTTGTCTAGGCTTTCAGAAGCGGTTTGCCAGCGCCTACTTCTTAGGGCTGACAGAGAATGACTGTCTGGCCCAAGGTCATCCAGCTGCCTTTGTGCTTTCTCTCTCCCAATTTCTATTCTGATATCTTAACCACTACACCAAACTGACTTTCTTGTGATAAAGACTACTTTACCTACTATAACATACCATATCCCAAAGAGACAGAGCCTGAGATTTGACTTTGAGATGATGGCTGCTATTGTTGAATCTGCATGTTATACTCTACATGTTCAAATATAACTCTTTAAGGGCTTGTAACAAATTTAATTTCCAAGGAAAGACAGTTTGCAAAACAGCTTTTTAAATGTATGAATGAAAGGGAAATAAAAAATCTCAGGTTTTTGCCTCCCTCTTAAGATGTATGTAATACAGCTAATGCAAGCTGCAATACAACATTCCTTTTAAGACGTATCCTGTATTTCAATCTGTAATTATAAAAATGTAATTGCTGCTTCTTACATATATGCTCCTGGGTTCAATTTTTTTTCTATTTTTCATATTCCACCTCCAAAGTATTCCTTTCAATTGGCCATTTTAATTATTTGGTCAGTCTGGGTAGAAGATAAAGATAGCTGTTTATATTCATACGCATTTAATTTAAGAAAATTAAATGCATATGAAGTTGCAATGAATTATCAGGTCTTGCTATAAACATTTAAAATAAGTTTTCATTTCTAACATGTCTTTATTACATTTCCAGGTTGATAAATAGGAAGGTGATATATAGAACAGATTATTCTGGCTCAAGAATCACATTATAGGATTCAAAAACAAAATCATGTATGGTCATTTGAAGATTGGTTTTGGAGATTCAGTTCTGTTGCAGCTATAGATACAATAAAGACTGCACTGTTTGTTGTATTCTCCTATCACAAAGCAGCACATGAAAGATGCCTCATTTTAATATCAAAAAGAGTAGTTAAACTTCCCCAGCTTTACCTGCCTACAGTCCATTGTTCTGAGTATTTTCCTTCTTGCGGATCTCCAGTATTGTGCATGAGTCAGCCTGCTGGGAAGGTGATGAAGAATGAGAAAATGGGACAATGATGTGTTATAAGGGGTAAAAATAATACATATTTACTTTATAAATCCACCCCATTGCCTTTAAGGGGCCTGAGATTATGATTACTTTCTAGCATTGCTGAAGATCAGCAACGGTTGCTGTGATTTCCTGAGCAGTTTGAACCAATCATCTTTACTGAACAGGTTTAAACATGTTGCATTTCTAAAAGCCACAAAAAAGAATTGGCTTCCTTATTAAATTATTGTAAAATTTACTTAAAATTAATTTGAAAACAAAATGATTTCTAATTAGATCTTACGTTTGCATCATATGGAATAGAATAGAGTGGAGTAGAGTAGAATAACAGAGTTGGAAGTCCAACCCTCTGCTTAGGCAGGAAATCCTATATCTTTTCAGACAAATGGTTGTCTGATCTCTTATTTAAAACTTCCAGTGTTGGACCATTCGCAACTTCTGGAGGCAAATTGTTCCACTGATTAATTGTTCTAACGGTCAGGAAATTTCTACTTAGTTCTAGGTTGCTTCTCTCCTTAATTAGTTTCCATCCATTGCCTCTTGTCCTGCCTTTTGTTTATAGTTTGGTAACCATTATTCTTTATATGTTACTGTGCAATGCCTGGATGCTGGTCTTAGAAGTAGAAAATCAGAAATCCAATTCTATACAACCTTTAGAATTGGGCAACTCAGTATTTTCCAGCCAGCAGTCTTTACCAGATTATTGAGAAGCTAAAGATTATACTTCTTCCAAAAATATAAAAACAGCAGAAAAACCTTGGAGGAGCAATGCTGTCCTCTGGATTTCAGGACAAGTTTAACACAGTGATAATGAGTTGATTCCAGATTGGGTGGGAAAGAATCACAGATGGAGTTTTTCATGCGAAGGAACTTATTTTTTTAAGGCAACAGGTTATTACTGCAATTGTTTTACAATTAAAGTATGACAAAGACACATTTTTATAAATTGCAGGATACATTGCTTTTTAGTGAAATGCAATAGAGAAGAACCAATGCGTAGGTATCCAAGGGAGATATTCAGTAAGTCAGCCAAATTTCTTTTGTTTACCTTTCTAGTGAAGCCATTCTCTCCCTTCAGTGTCAAAGCTGAGATTACAGAGGACACTGGGCAACTGAATGTGAGTTGGAAGAACCCTGAACTTCCAAAGAATGACCTTCAATTTCAAGTTCGATATGCGGCTAGTGGAGAAGATATTAACTGGAAGGTACATTCTGATTTAACGCAAACTGACTAATGCTTTACTGAGGATTTGGTTAGTTTTATTAGTGTCTGGTTCATCTTGGGAGGAAAAAGAACCATTTTGATGGGTTTCTTTTCTCTAGAATATGTAACAGACATCCAATCTTGGCGTTAGCCATTCAGAAATTATTTTATTATATTGGTTAGGTTTCTTTGCTTTTTTTATAGATTCAGGAAGTTTCTGCTGTATTGGTTACCACTGTGAGTATTGCTGTACAAGATCCCTGTATAGTTTACATTATACAGGTGCGCTGCAGGATGACTGAAGGAATTGGCTATTGGAGTGATTGGAGCAGATCTGCTTATACAGTTGTTAAGGATATCAAAGGTCAGTATCTTACCTCCATGCTTTCGGCTATTTTCATTTAGAACAAGTTGTATATAAACAATTTAAAATAAGCATTATTTTTCAGCTCCTTTGAGAGGACCTGAATTCTGGAGAGTTATTAATGAAGATCCCATTATGAACCAGAAAAATGTCACTTTGCTTTGGAAGGTAATTCTGAGAAGAATAAGATGCTCAACATCTAATTTTTTTTGTAATGCTCTACTATTCCTTACAGTCAGATATATGAAACTAGCTAAAACTGCAGTCCCTTTACTGTTAATGTTCATGGGGTAATAGTCAATTTGGCTTTCTCTTTCAATTAGTTAAAAATATAAAGAAGACATTTTATATATTGTCCTGATTTACACAACTCTTAACATATATTAATCAAGAACTTTTTTTAAATAGAAAAGGGAAAGTCTTTTAAAATGTTAAATTCCACAATGTAACCACTTATTAAAATGTAATTGTTATTGTTTACATGCAACTTTCAGAAGTGTATCTTTTTCTCAGGACTATTTTTTGATTAAGCTTTGATTCAGGAAAAAAAACTCTAGTAGGCTTTAATGCTATAAGTTGTCTTGTAATAGAATTTCTAAATTTGTTTTCAAAGGAATTAAAGGTTGATTTTGTTTTTTGCATTTTTATTTGTGATAGGCATAATGCAGGTTTGCATTGCCTTTCAGGAATACATGATCCAAACAAATTTATTATTATCAAAATCAGTGCATCAGAAAAGTTATAGCATGGCTCTTTAAAATCCTACAACCTTTTAAAAAGTTGAACAGGTACAACCATACATGCAATGTCGACAGGTAATGCAAATAAAAGCTAAAGCCAACAGTTCTTCCTTTGCCTTGAAATATTCTACATGATTTCAAAATTTGATCCAAAGGATTCCCAGGTCTAAAGATTAGATCCTGAGGTTACATGGGCTATTGGACAGAGAAGGAAAGAACGTTCTCTTGTATGAGCAGAAGTCTGTTCTTATCTCGCTGGATTCTACCCAATGCCTTAAATCAAAAACAGTCTGTCTGTCTAACAGGTGTTTCTAATCAGAATTCTTAAAACTAGAAATCCATCTAATTGCTTTCACACTTTAAAAACCTCCAGTGCACTTTGAAAAAAAAATCAGTTTAAAATTATTGATTTGTCAGCAAATTAGTTTAATTTCTGACCTAATTGACTACATAAGACTGTGAAATTTAATATTTGTAGGAAATATTATAAAATGAATCAAGTATCTTCTGTATTATTAAAAAAAATCTAAACTTTAGTTTAAAGTGTAATACAAAATGTCTAATATATATGTATTTTTTTACAGCCACTGATGAAGAATCTTTCTTTATGTAGTGTTCTAGATTATGTAGTAGAGCATAATACATCAGAAAACATTGTTTGGTCTGACTATATAGGAAATGACACTACTTACACCTTTTCATGGTCAGAAGATACACATTCTGTTAAAATTCTAGCAATCAACTCAATTGGACCTTCCTCTGTGAATTTTATTTTAACTCTTTCACAACAAATAAGCACAGGTAAGAGAAACCATTTTGGATTCTTGCTCCCACACAACCCTTTTAATCTATGACTGTACTTTTAAATAAAGAAGGTATTTAGAAACTACTGATCTTTTGGAAGGTCCTCTCTTTAAATAAAGTGTAGGATTTCCAATCAAAATCTTGAATACATTCTATTTTATCACTCTCATACTGTAATGCTGATACATGTATTGTATATAAAATAGCCAAAATATATGGGCAGTGTTTTTATGAAAATCATACAGTGATCTGTATTTACTTCAACTAAGGACCATATGTCACTTTTGGATGGCATGTAGAGGCCGCAGTCCAAAACTGCATGCAAAAGTGTCAATGGGGTCATCATACATTAAAACAATGGATGCAGCTGGGTTATAAAGTCATGCCCCTTTTTACCAATGCAGATAGTAGGCATTTTATTTGATCTCCCAATTGTATCCATCATTTTGACATGGTTAATTCCCCTCTCTCCACTGATGCCCTTGAGATTAGTGGAGGAAACAAAACCAAGGCCTACATTTGATTTTTAAAAAACTACATTTATATTTAATAAATATTACTATTGTTAATTATAGTCTCTATGTTTTAATATCCATTTCATTACAAAAAAAAGAAGTATAGCTGTCTGGATATGTGGCCAGGGAGATTAAAGTTGGCTTTGCTGATCTAAATTTGATATTGTTTTTATCCAAATAAATTTATTTGTATTATTACATGTGAATTAAACTTGTTTCTTCTAATTGGCAATCTAGTAATATTATTGTTTTCTTTACTTATGAAGTTTACAAGATTTCTAATCTACAAAGTAAAATGAAGTAATTTTGTATTTTCTTTTTTAAGAGATTGGATGAATTCGCTTTCTAATTTTCTGTCTGATTACCTTTTTTCTGTTTGTTTCTTGATTGGTTTGAGTTAGTAAACATTGTGCAAACTCTGAATATCTACCCAATGAACAGCAGTTGTGTAATAATGTCCTGGATACTTTTACCTATGGATTATGTGGTTACATCCTTTGTAATTGAATGGACCAATCTAAATGAAGAAGAACAAATTAAATGGATAACAGCTCCTTCTAATGCTAGGAGGCATCATATATTTGGTGAGTTGGATATGAAAACATATGCTTCTGTGTTTTTTGTTTTTTGTTTGTTATAACAATACTTATGTTGGAAGAAAAAAATAAACTGGGCATGAGATAAAACATAGAAGATTAGGAATGTTGTGTGTATTGAAAACCAACAAAGAATGAAAATTCCTGAAAAAGTCACATTAAGTCATATTTAATATAATTGAATTGATTTTTTAAAAAAACTAAAAAAACTAAAATCCTTTCTTCCTTAATTTTTTGGCAACATGATATTGCAATATTGGGGAACCATATATAAGAAGTTAAGCAACTGCGGATTGTCCCAATTTAAATTGTGGTAGATGAACAAGAAGAGTATTATTGTTATATGTCATAACATTTTATTTGTGATTTTGAGAAGCTATTTGTAGCTCTCCAATATTAAAACAATGGAATATAGGAAGGTGCCGGTTTTCCAAACTTGTAAGTCTCAAACTGGTGCTTGACTTTCTTTAGCTCTGAGGTCGTAGTGGTGAGTCTCTTCTATGAATCTGACTGACTGTGAGTTGCTGGTACTTGTAAATTAAACGTTATTGTTTCATTCCAGATAACTTCATACTCATTGAAAAATACAGATTTAGTTTATACCCAGTGATTAATGAAGGAGTCACAAAACCTGCAATAACAGAAGGATTTTCCAAAGGTGATTTAGTGAACTGTTATCTGTTCTAATTGTATTTAATGTTTCAAATATCACAAGAAAAAAATGTGGTAAGCCTGATATTGGCTGATTAAATACAGAACCAAACAGGAAACAGGGTTCCTCCAATATTTTAAGAAACAATTCATATGGAAATGTGAACTCGTTCACGGGCAATAAGTTCTCCTGATTATTTTGATTAAACTGAAGCGAAAATGCTGCTCCTTCAATCTGTTCTTCAAAATTGCCTAGTTGAATGCATATCTTCTCTGAGAAGATGGGACCAAAATAGGATTTAAGTAGCACTGCCTTTTCTTTGTTATCTGTTCTGCCCTCCTCAAAGAGCAGCTGGTATATCGATTGTTTTCTTTGTTACTCTGAACAACTCTAAATAAGTCATTTTGCTAATCACAGTACATTCTGCTCTTTAGTTTTCCTGACATCTTTCTACCAATCTAGGTACATATGTACTGTTTCTTGGTAATATGTCTCTCATTCTACTCTCATTATATGTGCCTTTTTGGATTTTCAGTTTTTTCACTAAACTTTATGAGCAACCCCATTGGTTTTTTTCTGCTTCCTTCTTTTTGATTTCCACATTTTAATTATTTCCAATTGTTCTTTTTAGAATCCCAGTTTTCAGAAATTCCTGTTCATCTGTGCATATTTTTTCCAATTTTCTCCTACTACTGTGGAGTCCTATATATCAGGGGTCCCCAACCACCGGGCTGCGGACCGGTACCGGGCCGTGGAGCACTCTCTACCGGGCCGCAAAGAATTTTTTTTTTTAAAAAAATGGCGGCTTTCTTCACCTTCGGTGAATGCTGCTAGGATCGGGGATCAAGGACACAAATGAAAGAAGGGGAGGGAGGAAGCAACCGAAGCCTGTCCTTCTCTCTGGGTCAGCTCTCTCAGTCGCTCTCTCGCTCCTCCACCAGCCCAGGAAGAAACTG